CAGTGGCAATACCACATTCGTTAGCGTTGAATAGGGGTTGTTTATGTTACGGGCAGGTGAGCATGCCATTAACTGCTGACTACTTTTTTTTACCTGGAGACCCTCACTCAAGAGTTGGTGCCCTTCCACCTGTCGTTAATCGTCGTAGTAATCGAGAGCTCCGAATTTTCGTTCGGGTTTTTTAACTCTTCAGAGTGAACTCCTCGAATCATTTAAATATCAAAAACTAGTATCTTTGTTTTGATAATATCGCACGATTACGACAGCGATATATAACAAGAGAAAAACAAGAAAGTAAGTTAACTTCGGCACGCCAGAGTTTTTATACCCTTGCAGGTCGTTTCCGATTTTAGAAAACTAAATTAGAAAATTAAATATAAAAATTGCAAGATATTGTTTCATTTAAGTTTACTACCGTCCATTTTTAGCGAAAACTAAATATAACGGTCTATGTATTATTTGGCATTAATTATCCGATCGTTTCTATGGCAGCTATATGATAAAGTCGTCTGATCTTATTTAAAATTTATTCGAAATTCTGAAATATTAAAGAATGATATTTCCAGGAGAAGAAGTTAATATATCAAAAAAAACCGAAGCTATAATTTGTTTCAAATTATTTTCCCCACCAATTTTCCGATTGTTCCTATGGAAGCTATTTGATAAGTCGTCCGATTTTGATAAAATTAAATTCGAAATTCAGAACCAATTAAAAAATGTTATTTCCAAGCGTAGGAGGTTATATGTTAAAAAACACAAAAAATATAGTTAAAAAAATGATTTTTTTTCGATTATTCCTATGGGAGCTATAAGATATAGTGGTCCGATCCGGCTGGTTCCGACATATATTCAACCTGCAAAAGAAATAAGACTTTTGGAAAGTTATTTCTTATAAATTCGTTAAAAATTAAATGAGATTCTGTTTTTATTAGCAATACCCATCTTCATGCAACTATTATGCAAATCGGACCATTCATTAACCAAACAATAAATAATCAGCAAATGCAATAGATGGATGGAGATATATATAAGCAGCAAAGTGCGACATTGCACACCATACAAAGCGTCACTTACGTTTCACGCTATGTGGCGTGTTAGTGAAATCTCGTAAACAGCCTATAGGAATGAACGGCATTTTTGTTAGCTGAGTAACGGGTATCTGATAGTCGAGGCCGTCGACTTTAGCGTTTTTTCTTGTTATTTCCAAATTTGTAACCCTTTTTTTGGATCCAAAAGGTTATCCTTTTTAAAATGTTTTGCTTCAAATCAGAGCCTAAGATCGGAAAATTGGTGGGAAAATAATATGAAACCAAAAAATTAAAGCTTCGGTGTTTTTGACATATTATCTTATACTGTTGGGAATATAATTTTTTGTATTTTTAAATTTAAAATTTATAACTGTTACTTTTAAAATGTAAATATTTTTAGTTGTCGTGAAAAAAGAATTGTTATTTTTGATTATTTAGGCATAGTTTTAGACAAAATTGAGCGTTAGTTTTAATTTCACGCTTTCAAGAAATCATGAAACCCTTAGCACAAACATAGTAATAGTTACGTTTTAATTTAGCCAGGGGGAGGATTATTATGTATAAGGAGGTGAAAAGGGCACAGAAGTCGATTGAAATATTTATATACCGTCTTTCAAACTTATAGCTTTGTATCGGAAAGTCCTTCCGAACGGTAAAAACGGCTCACTTATCTTATATTTTAGTACACAATAACTATGCATTTTGGGTTTAATTTAAGGTACTATATCGATTTCATTATACTTATTAAAATTATGAAAATTATCAATGTGCCATATACACTCATAGAAATTGTACTGAAAAATCGACCTAAAACAAGAAAAATCGACCTAAACGGGGGTCATTACATCTTACATTTAAAGCGAATTTTCCTAGACCTAGGACGAATTTTCTTAAATCTAAGGCGATTTTTCTGTTTTTAAAGGTAAATAACCTTAAAAAATAAAAAAATTTTAACATCAACGGCTGTAATTTTTGAAATTATGGTGACTTTCTTACCTAAATTTTTTTTTAATGTACATTTTCTTGATTGTATGGTGTTTTTCTTGATTTAAAGGTAAAACGCCTTAAGAACAGGAGCAAGTGCCCTAAAAATGTAAAGCAATTTGTATACAAAAATCGTGTTGTGACATGTTTGGTGGCTTTTGGGCAAACATTGTCTGCGGTAATTTTTATGAATTTTTATAGGATTATTTGAGTTAGTGCCCTTTTTTTTACTATAATTTGAGAAAAATCTTCCGGGTCTCTGCGAGAATCGAACTCACGACCGCTGGGTTCGCAGCCGTGAGCACTACCGCTGCACCACAGCCACATCGCGCTGCGCGACGCGCAAAAAGGGTTCATATATCAATTTGTTCTAAGAACAAATTCTCAATTTAATTCTAAAAAATATTCTCACAAATGACAAAAAAAAATTTGTTATATTTTAACCAACTAGACTAAATACATTAAAAAACTGTTATACATTTTTTTGTTTAATATTTTTACGTGTTATTACATTTTTTTTGCCTTTGCACACAAACTATTTTTATTCAATTCCTAAAACTTGCACAAAAAATAAAATTAAGTTTTGACTCTTCGTGGGCTCCAACGCACGACATTTTGATTAGTTTGGGGCACGGATTTTCAAATTTTAAGGGCGGTTTTCTAGTTTCAAGGGCGATTTTAGATGATTTTTTGTTCTACGAAATATGGCGATTTGTCCTAAATATAAGAAAATATTAATAGCATATGCTCGGAAAAATTCGCTTCAACTAATAGAAATAATTGACATTTTTCTTACATTTTAGGAGATTTTTCTTGATGTTAGGGCGATTTAATGTTTAGGGCGATATTTTTTAGTATTTAGAAAACTAATTTATAAGTGTAGGATATAAAAGCAATGTGGATTTGGCAACGAAATACAAAATACTTGATTTTCTTCATAAAGAAATCTCCATGCCTCTCACACTCTTGCTACTTATTTATTATTGTTCGGTTATACCCTTTAATGAATGGTCAGATTTGAATAATTTTTGGTGTGTACATAAATGGGTATTGATAACAAGAATAAAATTTCATTTTTACAATATATTAAAACAATGTGTGCGCTGACCGGTTTTTTGCGTTATGGTCGTTAGAGTAGGCGTGGCACCCTGGATCGACTCGGCTAGTGATCCTGGGTCGGAAACGCTTCCTCCTACCTGTCACGTATTTTTCGAAAAATCTAGTACACTCTTTTCTCTAGTTTTCAAAATTGGTATATTTGGTAGTTAAATACTGTTTTAGATTTATCCAAAACATTGCTGTTGATTTGTATCAAATAAAAAAACCTCATAACGAGTTAAGGGGTCGCACAATCGCACCTCCAACTTAGAAAAGTTCTGATATTGACTTTCGTGACGAAAAATACTTGTATATTCGACTAAGTAAATTCACTTTCTAAAATGATTTCATCCTGCCCGTTACAGCAAAATATTTAGACAAATTATACTAAGAAGGCGTGGGTAGTATTTTAAAATAACATTTCAACGACGTATAGCTTAAGTTTGTAGCTTTAGTAGTTCACAAGTTAGGTGCGTACGAAATTTAGCTATTTATTTCTGTTTTCCCTCCAAACCAGCGGCTTAACACTACCTATTTAACACTTTTTGATCCCAAAAACAGAGTTATGGGACAGACACTTTTATTTTGAGAAGCCCTCTAACATCTTGTTTATAAAATAACTTTTAAGAGGAGCGATCCATTTCCCACAAATTAGTTGTAGTTCGACGCGTATTTTCATTAAGAATTGAGGCATTTATCCCCGCCATCGAGCTTAAATTTTCTTAATTTTTATACCCGTTATTCGTAGAGTAAAAGGGTAAACTAGATTCGTCGGAAAGTATGTAACAGGCAGAAGGAAGCGTTTCCGACCCCATAAAGTATATATGTTCTTGATCAGGATCACTAGCCGAGTCGATCTAGCCATGTCCGTCTGTCCGTCTGTCCGGATGAACGCTGAGATCTCGGAAACTATGCGAGCTAGGCTATTGAGATTTGGCGTGCAGATTCCTGAGCTTCTTACGCAGCGCAAGTTTGTTTCAGCAGAGTGCCACGCCCACAAACCGCCCAAAAGTGTGGCTCCTACAGTTTTGATGCTAGAACATAAATTTTAACTGATATGTATTGTTCTCATCAATACCTATCGATTGACCTAAAAAACAAGTTTGCCACGCCCACTTTAACGCCCACAAACCGACCTAGCCTGTGAAGCCTACAGTTTTCATGCGATTGATCCAAAAAAAATTTGTCACGCCACTCTAACGCCCATAACGCTTAAATCTGTCTACCGCCGGTAGGTGGCGCATTTTAATCTCGCTTTGCTGCTTGCATATCTCCATTTCCCTTTGGTCCCTTTAGCTGAGTAACGGGTATGTGACAGTCGAGGTACTGGACTATAGCGTTCTTCCTTGTTACTTTTACGCTTGTACAGCATTTTCTCCCAAAGCAATTAAAATTTGGTTTTTGGTTTGGTATGCCACCACTGTAGTTATTGCAATGCCTTTCGACTACTGTATCACTCGTTACGATTAGACCATCACAGCAGAATTTCAGTTCTGCGCCTATGTAGTGGTCGCAATCGCGCACTCTCCTGGCGCGCTTCGCCACTACGTGGACTGCTGTCTCGAATGATAACACATGTATATTTTAGAGTAAGGAAAGCGCACTTAAAGTTCAAGATTCCAAGTGGGCCAACAGTGGAGTTCAGCTCTGTAGATATGTAAGTGCAGCATTTTACCGATTTTTTGCAAACCGGTGGTACTATCGGGATAGAGTCGTGGGAAATCGCAACCTCAAATTCCGTGTCTAATTCACAGCAACAGCCGCTGAAAGTCCGCCAGAACCGGCTAACGTGTGCTGACGCATATCGCATATGTCCCAAACACTTGTCCGAAGCACCAGCAGCTGCAAAGAAGCCGAACGCCGACGCCACTTTAGGGGTTGTTTTCCCTGCCTTGCCATTTGGCTCTTTAGCGTTAGCCGCCTGCCTTTAGTTTCTTTCAGTTTCAGTTTGAACGTCGAACGCCGAGAACCTCGAGGTACCGCTCTTGCTGTCGGTTCGCTGAACCAATCGGGCTGAAGCCATTGAAACGCGTGTGAACGGCAGAACGAACGACGGTATATTCATGGCTTGAACTTAAAGTAGATAATGTGAAAAAACCAACCAAAAGGCAATGTGAGTGAAAGAATTAAAGCTGAGAAGGAAATCACTGTCTTGGTTACAGCAAATTGACATAATTACTGCTTTTGAGAAAATGAGAAGAAAAATAAAATGCTAAAGAAAATATAAGAGAAAATATTAGCTCTGAGCTATAACGTAGCGTATACTTCAGTTTTCAGAATAAATATGATTAATGCAAGCAAAACCACTCCCACGTAAATCCATGATCAATAATAAAATATTATAAATTTCGTTTCAATGTCTTTTGAAATAGTGCGACGTAATAATTCTATCTTTAAATCCATAGGAGATGTGCCAGCAACAAGTAAATCATCAACCATAAGTGATAGTTAATTATAAAAAAAGTTGTCTAAGGCATAATATTGAAAACATGTGCATACATTTTGAAATGAGCAAAAGTTTAAAATAGCGAATCTTTTTATACATATGCGTGTACACATAGAGCGGAACATATGCACATGTATAAATATATGTACATACATATATCGAGAGTGTGCGACGATATATATAATACATCAGTGCCGGCAATGCAGAGGTCGGGCTAAGGAAATTGTATCATTGCCCGAATCCACTTTTAGAAATAGTTTGCATTTGAATTTGTCTTATTTTGCGTTTTCTCCCAGCGATATGTGCAAACATATATGTATATATATGTATGCATATGTGTATGAGAAGTTACATTAGAACATGCCTGCTGATATATATCTATAAATATAGGCAAGAAATGGAAATAAAGGTGTTGAGATCAATCATTTTTTAATTTGCTTATGGGACGTTTCAAGCTAATACAGTCAGAAAATGTTTGTTGGAACGATTAGAGGAAGATAAATCTTAAAGGAAATAGTAATCGTTTTGGAACGTAAAAGGTAAATAAATTATATATTGAATCCAAGGTGGGCATTTACGTCTGTTCGTCCTTATAAGCTAAACCAAAAGGTCACATCCGTGGGCAGAACAATACTAGAATCTGCAGGCAATATTTTAACGCTCAAGCTTTAAAAATGTGGGCGCCAGAGCGACAGTTTCCGATTCCGCAAACTGCTCCACATAGCGGAGAAAACTTGATTGTAAGTGAAGATTTATAAACAAAACAAAACCTCAATGTAGGCGCTAGACAGACTTTAGCCTTGTGTCACACAGAAAGACGGACATCCACACGGTTAGTGGTCCTGATCAAAAATATATATACTTTATAGGGCGGAAACGGTTCTTTCTACATGTTACTTAGTTGACACATATTTACGATCGAAAAAAAATTTGATCCTAGGTGTAGTGTCATTTTCACCCACACCTATTAAATTGACACTCAAATATTTTTTTTGGGTGTATGAATGGATGTATGCATATGAATATTTTTGATCAGTGTCAACAATCCAGCCATGCCAAACAACTATAGCAAACGTAGAAACGATCGAGAATATCAGGAATATAATAATCAACGTAGCTTCGTTGTTTTTAAACATAAACGCAAATTTTACTCTTGGAAAAAAAGCATATTAAGTACAAACATTCAGACTTTGCTTTAAATATTTAGGGCAATGATTCAAGTGAGTTAACGCGCTCAAAAAACGGCAGGGAGCTTTAAGGTGACCTTGAACTTTCAAACGCGTACGAGAACGTAAACAAAACATAAAAAATGTTTGTTTATAAGATTAAAGCAGTGCCAATCTGCCATTTTCCAATGTTTTTGAATTGCTTAGTTCAGACAAAAACTACATTCATCTTAGTTAAAATGCTGAAGTCCGTTTTCTCGTTCGGCCGGAATTGTGACTACCGTTGAAGTATATTTTTAGTTTAACATTGAATTTTTTTTAAAGCTTTAAATAATTTCTAAAATTACTTTGTTAAATAATAAATATATGGTAAAAAATTTAAAGGTCTTAATTTTAATGCCTAAAAAATGTGCATAAGAGCTACTAAACAAACCGCGGAGACATGGGTGAACGCCCGATTTATGATGGCTAAAGAATCTCTTGGCTCCAAAATCAGTGATCAGTTTGTTTCAGTTATCTGTGATCAAGTTTGTACTAACGACTTCGAAAAATAAATACATTTTACCTTAATTACTCAAATGTCCTAGGGTAAGTTTTTGACAACATTTTTATACCCGTTACTCGTAGAGTAAAAGGGTGTACTAGATTCGTTGGAAAGTATGTAACAGGCAGAAGGAAGCTTTTCCGACCCTATAAAGTATATATATTCTTGATCAGGATCACTAGCCGAGTCCATCTAGCCATGTCCGTCTGTCCGTCTGTCCGTCTGACCGTCTGTCCGTATGAACGCTGAGATCTCGGGATCTGGGATTAGACATGCAGATTCCTGAGATTCCTGCGCAGCGCAAGTTTATGTGCCACGCCCACTCTTACGCCCATAAACCGCCAAAAACTGTGGCTCCTACAGTTTTGATGGTAGAATATATATATATATATATTTTAACTGAAATGTATTGTTCTCATCAATACCTATCGATTGACCCAAAAAAAGTTTGCCACGCCCACTTTAACGCCCACAAACCGACCACAAACTTCAAAAAATCATAAATATGAACGCGGATAACTCGGAAACTATCAAAGATAGAGAAATGGGATCTCAGATCTTAATTCCGTAGCCTTGTACGCAGCGCAAGTTTGTTACGCGAATATGCCACGCCCACAAATCGCACAAACCTGTGGCGCCCACAACTTATATGCTAGATACAAAATTTTAACTGAAATTTCTTAGTCTTGTCAATATGTATCGATTGGTCCAAAAAAAAAGTTGGCCACGCCCACTTGAACGCCAACAAGCCGCCCAAACCTGTGACGCCTACCATTTTCACTCTAACGCCCATAACGCTTAAATATGTCTACCAATATATTGTGATCAGGGGTAGGTGGCGCATTTCAGTCTCGCTTTGCTGCTTGCATACCTCCTTTTCCCTTTCGTCGCCTTAGCTGAGTAACGGGTATCTGATAGTCGAGGTACTCGACTAAAGCGTTCTTCCTTGTTATACCCGTTACTCGTAGAGTAAAAGGGTATACTAGATTCGTCGGAAAGTATGTAACAGGCAGAAGGAAGCGTTTCCGACCCCATAAAGTATATATATTCTTGATCAGGATCACTAGCCGAGTCGATCTAGCCATGTCCGTCTGTCCGTCTGTCCGTCTGTCCGTCTGTCCGTCTGACCGTCTGTCCGTCTGTCCGTCTGTCCGGATGAACGCTGTGATCTCGGAAACTATGAGAGCTAGGCTATTGAGATTTGGCGTACAGATTCCTGAGCTTCTTACGCAGCGCAAGTTTGTTTCAGTAGACTGCCACGCCCACTCTAACGCCCACAAACCGCCCAAAACTGTAACTCCTACAGTTTTGATGCTAGATAGAAAATTTTAACTGAAATGTATTGTTCTCATCAATACCTATCGATTGACCTAAAAAAAGTTTGCCACGCCCACTTAAACGCCCACAAACCGTGACGCCCACAATTTGCATGCTAGATAAAAAATTTTAACTGAAATGTATTGGTGTCGTCAATACCTATCGATTGATCCAAAAATAATTTTGCCACGCCCACTCTAACGCCCATAACGCTTAAATCTGTCTACCGCCGGTAGGTGGCGCATTTTAATTTCGCTTTGCTGCTTGCATATCTACATTTCCCTTTGAGTAACGGGTATCTGATAGTCGAGGTACTCGACTATAGCGTCCTTCCTTGTTTTTAATTAAATTGCTGTGTAAAAAAATTTTTCGGTTACCCTCGTAACTGCACATGGTGCATTGGTGCAGGCACAAGGAGAACTTCAACGGCTCCTTAGCTCATCTAAGTACCGCGCTTAAAAAAAGACGTGGATGAGATTTTGTTCCTATCATCAATACCCATCTACATACCAAAAATTGCACAAGTCGGAGCAGTCATTAAAAAGTTAAACCTAAAGATTAATATAAATTTTGCAATTCAATCGAGATTGCACGCCATATGCACGCCAAGCCGATAGGGGCGCTATAGGCTAGTTGGCCCAATGGCTAGTACGGTGGCGCTATAAGCTAGGTGTGTGTTAGTAAGACGGCAGAGTTTGTTTAAGCATATCTCTTCATCCCTGTCGCACTCCCTTGAGCTGAGTAACGGGTATTTATAGTCGACTATAGCGTTTTCTCTTGTTTTTCTATCCCATTTCCTAATTCTGATACAAGAATTTTTGCATTACGATTAATAACCATGTGCTTTCAGCAGAACTATCTAAAGAATTCCAGCATTGTTCGCATCTCAGTTAGCATATTGTTCTGCTGAACGCGGCAATGACTCACAAAAAAATGGTTTTACAAAATGATGTTGATGTTTAAAAAATAGCTCCAACTATATACAAAAACCGTTTGTAGGACAAACTAATACAAATTTAAATTAAAAAAAAATTTTGTGGAGCCAAAACTTTAAATTTTTTTTAAATTTAAACTGTTTTTACTTATATATATTTTAAAAGTAGAGGTATCATAGGATTAACTAAAATTAAGCAGTAAATCGGATAACTATAGCTGGGTTATAGATTTTCAAACAGAGTCATAAAAAGGTGTTCGGTTTCGTGCCTAAGATGAGTTGCGAAAAACAATAACGTTATATTTCATACATACATATGTGTATATTTGTGGTTATGTATATGTCAATGTGCTTGCAGTTTCAAGTCTGTAAGTTTTCAAAGGTATATTATTCAATAAGTACGTAAATAAATATAGTTGTGTACTTATGTATTAAAAGGAGTTATTACAACGCATTTACGATTTAGTTTTCTTAAGAAAAACGTAATCAAATAAAAAACTCTATAAATTATCATAAATTGTATAAATAGGATTTTACTTACGTCCACTCATAAACTTAACGCCTTACTTTGAACAACAATTTTTCTCGATAATTTCAAGAGAAAAATTAGGTCGCTCTCTTCTCTTACTCACACTTTTTTTTACGTCTTCCCCTCACTTCCCCCCTCAGCAACAACGAAACCGAGATTGCTTTTGAATCTGAATAC